GGCTTTTTTCAAGAAAACTTTGCCCAGCCAGCATGATTCAGTGGTTGAGTGTTAACCCATGAACCAGGAGGTCACAGTTTGATTCTTGGTCAGGGCACATGACCAACTTGCCAGCTCCATCCGAGGCAGCTGATCAATGATTCTCTCTCATGATTGATGTTTCTCTCTCATCGATGTTTCTAACTCTCTATCTCTCTCCCTTCCTCTCTGTAAAAAATCAATAAAATATATATATTTTTTAAAAAGTAGACATTTTAGCCCGGCCGGCATGGCTAAGTGATTGAGCTTTGACCTATGAACCAGGAGGTCACAGTTTGATTCTTGGTCAGGGCACATGCCCAACTTGCCAGCTCCATCCGAGGCAGCTGATCAATGATTCTCTCTCATCATTAATGTTTGTCTCTCTCCCTCTCTGAAATCAATAAAAATATATATTTAATATGCCAAGACCGGTTTGGCTCAGTGGATAGAGCGTCAGCCTGCGGACTGACGGGTTCCAGGTTCGATTTCAGTCAAGGGCATGTACCTTGGTAGCGGGCTCATCCCCAGTGGGAGGTGTGCAGGAGGCGGCTGATCGATGTTTCTCTCTCATCGATGTTTCTAACTCTCTATCTCTCTCCCTTCCTCTCTGTAAAAAATCAATAAAATATATATATTTTATTGATTTTTTACAGAGAGGAAGGGAGAGGGAGAGAGAGAAACATCAATCATGAGAGAGAATCATTGATTGGCTGCCTCCTGCACGCCCCACACTGGTGATCGAGCCCACAACCCAGGTGTGAGCCTGACCTAGAACAAAACAGTGACCTCCTAGTTCATAGGTTGATGTTCAACCACTGAGCCACACAAACTGGCCAGGCCATGTGTGTGATTTTGGCAGACCCTTAAGCAGAGCAGGAAATTAATAAAAAGCCCACCCACATAATAATGGGGCCCATTTGCCGCCAAGGTCAGGAAATGTTATATTTTTAAAATGGATTCTCCAAGGAAAGGAATGAGTGGTTCCTGGGAGAGTTGCTTAGGAGAGGTTGACTAGTAGAGAAGCTTCAAAGCTCCCTAGGGACAATGTTGACAAAAGATAAGAATGTAGAACCCACTGTCACCTCTCCCAAGGGACTGGAACCCATCCTTCCTCAGCACTCAAAACTAGGTGACTACCTAGCATCACTGTCAAGCAGGCCACAG